AAGAGAACCCTCTGAGAGCCAGTGTGAGCAGCCAGTGAAAGCTACATTTGGGACAAGCTTGCCAAAAGATTTTGGAAAGGATGGAGGCAATGCTCCAACATCTCTGGGGGTCCTGGGGCTGTCTGAAAGACTGATGAGGGTGGCAGCAGCTAAGAGGAACATGTTCCTGCATCTCTGTGCAACGTTATCTGCCCTGTCCTTTACTAAAACATGATCTACGCAGAGCAGTGTGATTTGTTGCTGCAAAGTGACATTAAGACTCCAAAGTGAGAATGATGAGGTTCCAAACCCATAAGCCAGACACAGGTGATGCAGAAGAAGATCAGCAACAGGAGCAGGCTCCTGGGCATAGCTGTTGTGAGACACCAAAGCACCAGGCAGGGAGCTGAAAAGACATTTTCAGCCCTGGAAATGAATCAACCTTCAGGAGAATTTACCTGGGATTTTTCCAAATTGTCCATTAGATGGATTCAAGTATTCAGCTAACAACTCCCTCTGGCTAAAACAGGTGCCAAGACAGTGCTCTAGGACCCACCAGCCCTTTCAAGGGAGACACAAAGTTCAAGGACCCTTCTGACCCTGGGAATGACTGGAGAGTGATATGGGGCACGTTGCCTCCTTTCTGGGCCAAGCCAGGAGTCAGACTCGGTGGACGTCACTCCTGGCAGCTGGAAACATCAGAAGGACACAACCGCATGATAGAAAAAGGATAAAGGATAAACAATGACACAGGGATTAATGTCAACAGGAAACTAATGCCTGACACACGCCGAGTCAGGAGAGTCAGCAGTGTTATTTGTTATGAAGAGTGGATAGCAGAGGCAGAGGCTGGGAAACAAACCCTCAGCCTGAGGCTTCAAGAGCTTAATTGACCCCAGTTCCTGGAAAGAAGGTGAAGAGGGGACAGAGAAGAGCCCTGCAGCAGGGTTTGTACTGCAGCACAAGCTGAGCAGGCTCCAGTGCACCATGGCTGATGCTGGCCACATGCAGCATGGAAATGGGATGCAATTTTGTAGCTGTAGGGCAATGAAACCTTGGCTTGACTTACCAAGGAAGGAGATAGCTTGCCCTGGCTTCATGTCTCTTACCTGAGTGTAGCTCTCTTGGAAACTAGGGCTTATTCTAGCTGCAGGGATGTATTGTGTAACCTTTGGGCATGAAGGACCAAGCTGGATGATTGTCAGTCTTGAATTTTGGTCCCTGGCTTCATCATGTGTGTCCTTGGAGGAGAGAGCTGGAGGCCCACATGGGTCTCCTGAGGTTGATGGCCCCTGTGTTTGTTCAGGATAGCTGTCCTGGCACCAGCATTCCTTGCTGACAGCACCCAGCTGCATTTCCACATCAAATTGCCTGAACTTCCTTTAGGGTAACTAGGAAGTTACCTCACATCACATCCTGAAGGTGTGAGGTCTTGAATCTACAGACCTACAAATCCAAAGACACCATGCCAGGTACAAACCCACCCAGAAAAGGTGCTGAGGCTCCACTATGGATGGGCCCAAAGACGAGACAAAACCTTGGGAATTCTTCTGACCTCATTCATCAGGAGCAAACATTGTGTCCTGCCGAGATGATGGGCCTGGTGGAAGGCTACACATAAGCGAAGCAGCAGGATAGCATCAGTGGAGTTGTGTCCTAAGGGACGTAAGCAAGTATTGTTTTACTGCTGGGCAATGAGGTATCAGAGATACTAAATCATCTCTGCAAGATCACAAGAGGAAATTATTACAACCTAGAAAGACTAAACCTCCACATCTTAAGTGCCTCTTCAAGATCTTAATCACAAATATTATTCATTGTTTCTTTACAATGATACTGAATAACTCTATTCATATACCAGGTGATTGCCCATTTGTACAGCACAAATCAAGCCATGGTAGCTTCGTTACTCTGCATATGCATTCAGAAAAATAAAAAAGCAAGTCACATGGACATTTCCGACATGACAAAATCAGGGGAAAATGAATGTGGCCATGAATAAACAAGTAAGCGGAATTTCCCAGCATATTTCCTTTGCCTGGGGCACAGCCTTCTCTCTACTAGGAGGAAATGGTCATTTGTGAAAAGGGAAACTTGGCTATGTCCAAAAGACACTTAGAGGTGGAAAGGAATGGACACATAAGGAAAACTACCCAGGTGGTTTGAACCTCTCTCACCTGCTGTTACATGGTGCTGGAGATGAGGGAGCAGGCCATAAGAGGTTTGTGCTGCTGTTCCACCGCTGCCAAGTTTATTTCTAGCGGTGCATTTTTCCAAAGGGATCATGTAATGCTCCAACTCCCCAGTCACTAAAGGGATGTATGAGCTCAGAGTAAAACTCAGGGAGAAGTAAAGAGTTTGTAAACCCCATGGGAAGAGGAGCAGTACCGGTGGCAGTGGGCTGTAAGGGAGCACCCAGGCTGGGGGGTGCTAGAGAAACAAAAAGTGCTGGGGGAAAAACAGGAGTCTGCATTTCTCCTTTTTGGGGTTTTCTTTTGAAACGTCGCCCTTGTTAAGGAAGAAGCTGCAGACAGGGCACATCGAGAACTGGAGGGGTGTGGGGGGCTGAGCAGGGGCTGTTCACCACCAGGTCGGAGCACATTGCGCTCTCCACGCTGGAGCATTTGAGGAAACTGAGCTTTTGTTTACACTGAGGCTTGGGGAATCTCTCTGCCTCTGTATATGGAGACAGGCTGGGTGCTCAGTCGTGCTGCTCTTCCTGCTCCAGTCACCCAAAGGCACAGGGCAGATTTCCATGGATGGTCACCCTGGAAAGAGCCAGTCTGACCAGCTTGCCCGCAGCCCCAGAGCAGCCAAGCAGGAAAGCCAGCTGGTTCCAATAACTGCACATAGCAGTTTAAAAACTGACAAAAAGAAACCTAACAAAAAAGGGCAAACCAAGCCAAATCAACCCACAACGGGAAAGGAACTGCTCAGCTTCATCACTGATTTCTTGAACATGCCCATTGAACCATTTCATCAGAAAAGCACCCTGGTTTCTGCAGAGCAGAGGCAGGAGGAGCAGCATGGTGGGCTGTGAGCAGGTCTGGTAGGTATCATCCCTGTCCCGGTGGAAGCGTCCGTGCGTTTCGGCACCTTATTTGGCTATTGCTGCTTGTACAGAGTAAGGGCTTCTTGCAAACAGTGCGAAGAGCCCTGGGGATGCTTGGCTGCCTCTGACGCAAGAGCTTTGCCAGTGCATTTTTGACCTCGCTTTGCCTCTCAGCTGAGAACTGGAGATCACACTGCCCACCTCTCTGCACACCCACCGCTGAGCAGTGGCACTGGGAGGAAAGGAATACCCTAAGGATGGTGGCACCTGGCCTTAGCCAGGACAGAAAAGGCAAAGAGAGGGGCTTTCCCTGTCCTCAGGGATAGAGAAACTCTGCAAATGGCTTTAAGAGCACAGAGGACCAGCACCCTCTACCTCATGGCATGCAATCAGCTGTACTAAAAGGTTACTAGCTCCATCAGTGCTGTACTGAATTGCATCAGCTGGGAACCTCATCCAAAATGTTTGGGTTGAGAGTAACCCTTTCTATTTATTGCCCTATTGTTTTATACTGAAAGAACACTGAGATACAATCTGTGAAAGCTTTATTGTTGCAGACCAGCTTTCCCCTGCCCTCTAAGCTCACCCCCTAAACTATGCTCCAGCTTCCAAGTTTAGGGGGATGAAATGGGGATTACATTGACAGAGATTAAGGCACCACGAGGATTTGGTGGTGGAGGTCATCTGCTGCCCGTCCTCCCATCATTCAGGGCAGTATTACCCAATATCCCTCTGCACCATCAGCCACATGAGCTCAAATCCTCTGCACTGTTCATGAGTAAAACATGGCTTACTCTGCCCAGGGCAAACTCAGGAAAGCTTTTATTGATGCATATGGGAAAATAGAGGAACAGTCACAGTATCACAGTATGCTAGAGATTGGAAGGGACCTCGAAAGATCATCTAGTCCAATCCCCCTGCCGGAGCAGGAACACCTAGATAAGTCCTTTGTAAGTATCTCCATTATAGCAGCAGAAGTAGAAAAGTAGCAAAACTTTACCATCCCCATTAAGAGCATTTTGCTGCCTCCACAATGGCAAAGCTCCCACTGCCATTCCCACACAGGACATGGGAACAGCGCGCGTGGGTAAAGTTCTGCACTGGCAGAGCCATCCTCGAGGCTACCGGGGAGGGCATGGCTTTGCTGGTACATGGCTTTGCATCACCTGGCACAGCGTGGGATACATCCTGCCCGCTGCCACCAACCACCATGACGGACCTCAAAACGCAACTCCTTCCTCGTGGCAGTTTTTCAGGAAACCCAGTTGCCTTGGCGGGATGTGTGTATCATTGGGTGGAGAGCTACAGGAAGCGGATAATATCATTTTTTTTCCTCCATTTGTGCCGGTTCAGACTCATTTTACAGACAGTTCCCATTTCCTAGATTGACACATGATAAGGATGGAGAGACCCAGCACATCCACCAGCCTCAGCATGGGCTCTGCACAAGCCACGGACTGCGATACCAAGGTAAGCGGTTTGCCTGACATGTCTTATTCCGCTTACGAATTAGGTGCTTTTAAACGGCCAGTGTCAAGAAGAACCCAAACACACACCGAACTGAGCGCGGCCGTGGGCAGGGCTGCCAGCGACAGGCGCTCGAAGCATCCATGCGTTTGGGACACTGAGCTCCCGCCGGCCCTAGAGGACGCTCTCCGGGCCGGCTCCCGCGCTCCCCTCCAGCACGCAGCCGGACCCCTACGGCCGCGCCGGGGCCGGGGGAGCTCCGCGTCCAGCGGCTGCGCCCCACAGCGAGCTCCACTGCCGCCGGGCCGGGCCGGGCCGAGTCCAGCCGAGCCGCCCCCCGGCGAGTCCCGGATGTTGGAGCGGCCCCACTTACTCCGTCCTTCGCTTCCATAAAAGGCCAAGGGGCGCGGGGCGCGTTTTCCTTTAATTATCGTCCCCCTCCTCCTCCTCCTCTCCCTCCTCCTCCTCCTCTCCTCCCTCCTCTCCTCCCTCTCCCCGCCCGCCCCTTTTCCTCCCGCGGCGGCCCCGCAGGCAGCGGCTGGGGGCGGCGGGGTAGCGCTGCACCCCCCGATCCCGCCCCACCGCGCCCCTATCCCACCCCCCCGGGGCACGGGAGGGCTGTGCCGAGCCGGGCCGAGCCGAGCCGTGCCGGCGGGCGGGCGGTGAGGCGCGGCTGGCGGCGCAGGAGGCCGGGGCCATGGCGCTGGACGGGATCCGCATGCCGGACGGCTGCTACGCCGATGGGACGTGGGAGCTGAGCGTCCATGTCACCGACCTGGGCCGAGACGTCACCCTGAGGGTCACCGGCGAGATCCACATCGGCGGCGTCATGCTGCGCCTCGTCGAGAAGCTCGGTGAGTTCCCCGGTACCCCACATCCAGCCCAGCACTCTGCCCCGGCATCCTTCCAGCACCCAGCACCGTGCTGGAGCACCCAGCACCCTGCCCCAGTACTGTGCTGGAGCACCCAGCACCGTGCTTGGGCTCCCAGGACCCTGCCTAGCACCGTGCTTGGGCATGCAAGACCCTGCCCCAGTACTGTGCTTCTGCACTCAGTGGCCAGCATCGTACCCCTCTACTCTGCTTAAGCACCCAGCATCCTGTCCCAGTACTGTGCTTTAGTTCCCAGCACCCGTCTCAGCACCCTGCCCTAGCACCCCATCCCCTCGCTGCCTACCTCGCCTGGGAAACACAGCAAAGCCCCCATTCCCCCGGTGGCAGACGCCTTGTCGCCAGCCGGCGCCCTGGGTTGCCCCTCGAGCTGCCTCGGGCCGAAACCAGCCCAACTTTTACACCCCGGGGCCAGTTTGCCTGTGGCAGGGCCTCAGCCCCCATCGCCGCCTCCTTTGTACTCAGTTTTACCCAGAGCCGAGAAACCTCTTCATTCATGGGGTGGTGGTGGGGATTTTCATGGGTGCTCTCCAAGTTTACAGAACAATTTAATTCTAGAGTTGTATCTGGCTCTGCACTGCTTTGGACGAGGGCCCTTTGCGAGCGTGGGGTGGTTAACGGGGTGGCTTGGGCGGCGCGGGAACTCGGTCTTGGGAGCGGGGAGACCGCGGTGTCCGGTGGCTTTGGGTGCGTACCTGGACAAAGAGCCCGTTTGTCTGGGGCGCGTGGGAACGCGCGGCCGAAGCCGCAGGGATGGCTTTGTGGTGGAGGGGCTCCGTGCCCCGCCAAACCTCCCCTTGTCTTCTTATCAGCGCTCTGTGGCTCGGGTGTGTTTACTCAGCGGAACGGCCTGGGCTGACGACTGTAATTGCTCAAAGAAAATACTAATTGCGAGGTCCCCGCGCGTGCCTGCGGCTGTGGGAGTAGCGGAGCTGTCAGCTGCACCCGCAGGTCCGGGTTCAGTGCAGAGCCCTTCAATAATAACCATTTTCCTCCATGCTTAGGTTTTGATTTATTAATTATCTGAAGTTGCAGGAAGGAAGGGATGGATATAAATACGCTTGTTTCGAAAGGAAGCAAGCAGTCGCATCAAAAGGTCTCGTGCTGGAGATAGCTCTTGACTCTCCAAAAACTTGATTATTTTTATGCTGGAGCAGCAGAAAGATTTGCTGGATTTGAGCATTCAGTGGCTAGGGTAAAAAAGGCAAAGCTTTCTAGAAGCGGTTAAAAATCAACCCGTTGATCATGAATGAATAAGCAATGCGCCCCTTGGTTTTGAGCTGCGCTGGGTGCCAGGACCAGCAGATGCCAAGGCAGAGCCGGGGCCGACTCGTGCCGTAAGCTGGGCGCATGCATGGGGATGGAGCCCAGCAAGGACTTAAATTAGTTCCTGACGTCATGCACCCCCCCCCCCCCCCCCCCCCCCCAGTGTGTTTGCCCGGATCCTCTCCACTTGTTAAATTAGGGATTGTATTAGAGGGAAGGAATGCAGCGGCCACAGCCGCCGGCCCGGCAGGGGGAGTGGAGATGGTGCTCCCCGGGGGGCTCGGCCCCAGTGCCCCCCTTCCCAGGATGGCCGAGACCTGTGGATATCCCCAGCTGTTGCCTTCCCTTTCCTCCCGGCTTTTGTCGCTGAGCCAAGCTATACGTATTTAGTTCCTTTTAATCTTCCTGCATGTCAGCTCTTCCAGCCCTCTCATTACTTTTATGGCTCTTTGAGCTCCTGCCAGTTTATCAGGGTCGAGTTTAGCAGAGAGGGGTGGGACAGGACTCGTGTCTCACCCTCATGTGCCTCCTGAATGCCCTCCTTCATCTACCCTCTGCCACTGCTTCATCTCCAGATATATTAATTTTGCAATTTTTCCATGCTGGAACCCTTTCCCTGTGTTTTTAACCCATCGTTCCTCTGTCCCTCACAGTGTTGATTTCACTTTTTTAACAACTCCAAGTGTTAAAATAAATTATTAATCTGTAGCAAAGCAGATTTTTGCTGTGAGTTTTAAGGGAATGTCTTAAAAACAAAGTTTCTTTGCAGCTCTGGGATCCCCTATGGACCACTCTGCTTGCACATTGCAGGGCTGTGCCTTGGTCAGGGGTTTGCTGGTTCCATCCGTTTGGACAAACCTCCTCTGGGCTTTGTGCTGCTGGAGGCAGGGAAAGGAGATTTCTGTGGCCTGCCCAGAGTTTCAGTGAAGTTTAGGGCATCACTGTGATTTGCAGACATTGGTCCCACTCTGGCTGAAGGATGCTGGTAGAAGTTCTTCCACCATGAGTGAGTGGGGGAGAAAAAATGGCTTGCCTCCTCCCAGCAGCAAGGAGAGCCTGGAAGAGGGAAAACCTAGATTTATGTTAGTATTTTCTGATGCTTGTAGGGGAAAACAATTGCAGTAAATAGCCCTTTGCCCTGGAGAGGGCTGGGGTGCCATTCTCAGAGCAAGAACACAGGAAAGTCTCTCCTCCATATCTGCAAGGCTGCAGGTATCGGTAAATCTTGTCAACTCAGTCCTTGCCTGATTAGAGCGGCTGCAGTCAGACTATTTGGGAATAGGCAGTTAAAATCTGTCACTAATGCAGGCAAGGACTGGAAAAAAACCAAGCAGGAGATATGGATTCTGGTTACTCAAGTGAATTGCAATGACCTGTTGGCTCCCCTGCTATTTATCACCCCGCTGGATTAAGCCACTTTGTTAATTGAGCCGTGCCTTGTGCTTGGCAGAGTCCTCTGAAGAATGGGCAAAAAACTGCTGAGGTTTTAAGAACAGTAGTATTTAGTTGGTCCATGTGGGTTGGGAGTACTGGAAACTCCTGGTACTCACCCAGGGGTTTTTAGGAATTCTGCCACTATTGATTTACAAACAAAACAAACAGAAAAAGAGGCTTAAAATCACTGGGAGCAGAGGAAGGAAGGAAGTGAACGCAGGTTATTGTTGTTGTCAACTTCAGGCTGTTTTAAACACATGCAAGGAAAACATGCTGCTTTTTTGAAATGCACTTGGGAGGAGCTTTGTGGGACATACATTAAATGCAGGATTGCATTTAGGGGATCCTCTGTACGGTAGTGGGAATAAAAGAATAGCTGACAGAAGCAGGCAAGGGGGGGACAAATGGTGGCTGGCAGAGGACTGGCTTAAGACAGATGACCTAAATGTGCACTGAGCAGATTCAGAAAGTCTGTGGATAAAAGTTTTGTAGTGGAAATGTAGATTTCTCTGTAGGTTTCTTTTACAGGCAGAGTATGCATGGCAGCCAGCTCCAGCTGTGGGGGCTCATGGGGAGGACTGAGCACCCTTAGGGGTTTGTACACAAAGAAAATAGATGAGTGGATGAAAAAGAAAAAAGAGCTAGTTTGGGAATTGCAGCAGTCCTTCTAGACCAAAAGGCATTAATGCTTGATGCATCCCCTGGCCAAGGTGGGAGGATGGCTCAGGGTGCTGCCCTGCAGTGTGGTGGCATCCCTGTTTTATCAAGACAGGATGGGCACATCAGCTGCACTGGGGATAAATGTCAAAGCAAGCCTTCTGCCCTTGATAGAGAGTGGCTGATAATGGCAGGCAGTGATGACATTTTCTAAGGCCTTGGGGTTTTTGTGAATCACATCTTTGATAAGGATTTGGGCAGCTGGTTTAAACTCCATTGTTCTGTTTTGGCAGCTCCTCTGCTATCTCCTTCCCATCACTTTGGGGAGGGCAGGATGTCAGTTGAGGACTGGCACAGGAGCTGTCACATGCAGAGTGTTTTGGTTGAAGTGCTTTAGCACATGGTAGCACACCAAGCTTGCTCGTTCCCTCTTTTGTGGATTTTAGCCTGCATGTGGGATGTGTCTGGGATTTACCCAAGGGGCTCTCTTCAGCCATCAAACGAACTCTGCCCATGTTATCTTGCCAATGACTTCATCTGTACTCTTTGAAAGATCAATTGAAAATAACAGTGTTCTCCCAGTAAAATCTCTTTATCTTAATGGACCCCTCAAAGGGTTGTGAATAAAACACCAAGAAAGTGCAGTGTCATTGATTTCCTCAGGTTTGGGTTTGAGGTTTTGCAGTGCTTATAAATGTTCCAAGCTGTTGTGAGACTTGCTGGGGAATTTTTTGACTTGAAACTGGGGTGAACCCTTTGAAACAGCTTAAGGCTATTTAAGAGAAATGCAGTATCCTTGCTTCAGCCCATTCCTATTGCAAACACAAAGCAGGATGCAGTGCTGTTTTGCAGGTGACTTGCACCTTTTCCTGTGGACTTTTCCAACGAGACTTGCTAAGTGCTCACTAGGTGACTACATGTGTTTTGCTGTTAGAGAAGGCAAGAGAAATGGGTGGAGGCTAAAGAGAAAGAGGGTTTATTTCCAGAAATACTTATTTTGAGCATCAGTGCTTGCTGCCTGGAGTATGGTTGAAGCATTTCTCCGGTCCATGCTTCCATTTGTGCACTCTGCAGGTACTTGTCTGACCATCAGATGTCAGTTGAGATGAGAAGTTCCTCTCATTTTGAAATTCCTTATGCACTTGGTGGATAAGGAATTTGCTGGATGGTCATACTCAAAGAGTTGTGGTCAATGGCTCAATGTCCAAGTGGAGATAGGTGGTGAGGTGGTGTTCCTCAGGGGTTGGCAACATGGGCAGTGGGATCATGTCATCAGCATGTTTGCTGATGACACCAAGCTGTGTGGTGTGGTCAGCACACTGGAGGGTACGGGTGGCATTCAGATGTCCCACCTCATCCAGCCTGGACAGGCTGGAGAGTGTATTGAGAGAATATGGAGAATGTATTGAGAGCAGTCCTGAGGAGAGGGACTTGGAGTGTTGGTTGATGAAATGCCCAACATAGGCTGGCAGTGTGTGCCTGCATCCCAGAAAGCCAATGGTGTGCTGGGCTGCATCACCAGCAGCGTGGCCAGAAGGTCTAGGGAGGTGATTCTCCCCCTCTACTCTACTTTCATGAAACCCCACCTTCAGTACTGCATCCAGCTC